ACTGAATCCTTGTGGAGAAACTAATAGTTGCTCAGCTATTCAATACATTCCTATCGGTTTATGAAGCACAAAGGTACTTTACTGTATTACGCTGGATGCTAGCCTGAGCTAAATGAAAACAATCAACACCCTATCATCCTATCTTACTTACTTACTTACTTACTTACACATGGAGCTGAGCCCTTCTGGAAGAGCCGCCAATTCTGCAGCTACTCAAGAATTTCCCAGCATTTAATGGAACCCGAAGGTTCATTACTGTGTTCACAAGAGCCCTCCACTGGTCCCTATCCTGAGCCAGATCAATTCGATCCATACCATCCCATCCTATCTGTCTAAGATCCATTTTAATATTGTCCACCCACCTATGCCTTGGTCTTTCCACTGGTCTCTTTCCTTCTGGCTTTCCCACCAATATCCTACACATATTCCTCTTCTGCCCCATTCATGCTACATGCCCTGCCAACCTCATCCTCCCTGACTTGATGATTCTAATTATACTTGGAGAAGAGTATGAGTTATGAAGCTCCTCATTATGCAGTTTTCTCCAACCTCCTGTCACTTCATCTCTCTTCGGTCCAAATATTCTCAACACCCTGTTCTCAAACACCCTCATTCTATGTTCCTCCCTTAATGTCAGAGACAAAGTTTCACATCCATACAGAACCACGGGCAAAATTATACTCGTAGTTTTGTATATTCTAATTTTTATGTTTTTGGAGATCAATTTTAACATTATCCTCTCATCTATGATTAGATCTTCCTAGTTGTCTATTTCCTTCAGCTTTTCCTGCAGGCTAGATCACAGATGTTTCAAACATTCTAGTATGCTCTCGTAAGTTCGTTTACTTCTGCTGTTTTGTGGGGCCAGCTTAATCCAAAGACCTGCCCTATATCTCTATAGGACAGTAATTACAGTGCAGATTGACGTAATACTGAGTCTGATTTCCCCTGTCGCAAGAGAAAGAGACGGAGAGAGAAGGAATTGTAACCAAATCACACTCACTCAATTCCCTGAAGTGAAGCAATACACTTCTACACAAATGCAAATTGTATGCCAGTTTCAGATACAAACAAAACAAAAAAACTCTGTGACCTGTGGTCCGCAAGCGAACTATACCGAAAGAAGTTTCAGATACAGCACATACAAATATTAACATATGTACTATGAACCTAAGCATTTTGGTTCGCGTAATTGAGTGACAGGGTTTGTATTGGTAACCAGATTTATTATACCCTTAGACACAACTTGTAACTACCAATAACCACGACAGTCTCACTGAGTTGCACACTCCAAAAGATCACTGCAACTACAGCACACTTAAAGTCTTCTCAGTCTTCACTAGCCGTTGCTTGGCAGTGGCATTCAACGGCGGACGTTCCCCTGCCTCTGGGTTCCTGAAATATCCCAGACCTCTGCTACCATCTTCTCAAAGTCAGAGTCAAAGTTACTTGACTGGTGACTTATCGCCAATCAGTTCGTCTCGGTGCCAAGCTCCTCGCGGATCACGACCAGTTTTTTTTTTTTTGCTTCGCTTCATTTCGCCTTTGTCAAGTGTACGTATCGCACATACACGTATTGACCAGCTTCTGAAAGTCGAAGCCAAAACTACTAATCGTCATTATATATCCCTGGCATGAACCGCACAGAAAACGTCTCTTCCAGTATTGAGTGTTCGCTCGTTGCAGGGGAAACGTGTTTCCTAGCAACAGCTCTTGAACTGTCGCCTGTTTACACACAGCTGTTACTTGGTGATGAGTTTACATGTCACATTATACTATTACATGTTTTGTAAGCATGTTAATTACCATTGTCATTACACCATAATGCATGAAAATCAGTTTTGTATGAGGTCAAGAACGACAAAACTGTCTTTTGTTTCCGTATATCGTGTCTATTCTGTGGGTATTGATAATATTCTTATGTGGCTATATGAAGTGTAGTAATTATATAATGGAGGAAGTTTATGGTTTAGGGCCGCGCCATAGCTCAAGAGGTTAGTCGCTGGCTTCCCACCGCGGCGTTCGATCCCGGGTCTGGTCAAGTTGAATTTGTGGTGGACAAAATGACGCTGGGGCAGGTTTTTTTCCCGGTACTTCGGTTTCCCCTGCCAATCTTCATTCCACCAATTGCTCCACAATCACCCTCACCTATCATCTGGGTCTGGTACAATAGGCTAGTGGCCGCAATACAAGGGACTTAGTCTCACCCCACTAGGAATAAAGAAAAAAAAAGTTTATGGTTTACTAACTGTGCATATTATTTGTGAGGGGGAACGCAGTAGCGTAGTTGGTTGAGGCATTATGCTACAAGCTTGAAGGTCAATGGTTCGAATCCCGATGGTCACTGGATTTTTCAATTGACCTAATCCTTCCAGCTGCACTATGGCCCTGGGGTCAACTCAGTCTCTAACAGAAATGAGCACCAGGAATCTTCCTGCAGGTAAAGGGCGGCTGGAGCGTATGGCTGACATAGCCGTCATCTGAGCGCCGATTGTCTGGAAAATGTCAGCCTCGACATCTCACAAGCCTATGGGTCTCTTCAGCCTATGACAGGGATAGCTGTACCTTTTTTATGTGTTATTTGTGGGATGTGCGTGTTAAGTGCCGGCGTCAACAGTTCATTCAATAACATGTAGAACTTAAAACAGTTCAGGAGAAAGCAGGTGAGGTCTCAATAGCAAATGCTGAGATATCCCCTTGAATTCTCGGTGTTACACTACGAGTAGTATTATGCAGTTATACATCATGCAAATTTCTCATTTTCTTGTTATGTTTTTCTGTCAGCTGCTGCTGCTTCTTAATGTCTAAAGTCTCTTCAAACTGCAAACCTCTCCGGGAATTATTTTTTGACAAGCAAAATACAGTTTGTGCACATTTACGAATGAGACAGAGAACTGATAGTGAAGATGAAAGAGAAATTGATAATGTACGAGAGAAGGAGCCAAAATCACGCGAGGAGAAAAAAAAATATTGTGAACTGAATCATTGAGGAACTTCACGGTCTCGAAGAAATACCGAGGGTGCCCACTTCGAACCTTGAATTTCGACAATAACATAACAACGCTGGGTTTCTAACAGGGAAGACTGTGTGCCTGCACTGTAAAGAATAACCGGTTGATGGTGTTAAAGGAAGTTGTCACCAGGTAAAGCAAAAGTAAAGTAAAGGTATCCCTGTAACAGGCCGTGGAGGCCCATAGAGTTGTAAGATGATGAGGCTCCCACATTTTCTCTAGACAATCGGCTCACAGATGGCGGTAAGGTTGTCAGCCTTACGCACCAGCCACCCTTTACCCCCAAGAATATTCCTGGTACTCATTTCTGTTAGAGGCTGAGCCGACCCCAGGGCCATAGTGCGGCTGGAAGGAACATAAGAACTGTGGTACCCTTTAAGATCGAACTATGTGGCGTAATTACCACTGTGCTTAACTGCATATAACAACAGTTACCATTCTGCTTGTCCAGTAACAAGCCTCCAGATTTGGCTCCTACACACAACGCACTTACTCTGCAAAGCAGAACCGTTGAGAAGCTGATAGTCTCTTATATATTCAATAAATTTCTCGTTTCTTATGAAACCCGAAGCTTAATTACCATTTGTAAGACCGACACTTGGAACTATCCCGAGCCAGATGAATCAACTTCACAACCTACTACCCAATTTCTTTAAGACCAGTTGCAATATTATCCTTTCATTCACATCAAATCCTTGTACTTACTTACTCATGGAGCTGAGCCCTTCTGGAGGAGCACCAATTCTGCAGCTACTCAAGAATTTTCCAGCACTTTATGGAACCCAAAGGTTCATTACTGTGTTCACAAGAGCCCTCCACTGGTCCCTGTCCTTAGCCAGATCACTCCAAACCATACCATCCCCTCCTATCTGTCTAAGATCCATTTTAATATTGTCCACCCACCTATGCCTTGGTCTTCCCACCGGTCTCTTTTCTTCTGGCTTTACCACCAATATCCTACACATATTCCTCTTCTACCCCATTCATGCTACATGCCCTGCCCACATCATCCTCCTTGACTTGATCATTGTAATTATACTTGGAGAGGGGTACAAGTCATGAAGCTCCTCATTGTGCAGTTTTCTCCAACATCCTGTCACTTCATCTCTCTTCGGTCCAAATATTATCCTCAATACCCTGTTCTCAAACAACCTCAGTCTATGTTCCTTCCATAATGTCAGAGACCAAGTCTCACACCCATACAGAACCACTATCAAATCCTTGTAAATTATCTTTTCTTTTTGAAGTTCATCGATTCAAATTTTGTATGCATTTCTCATCAATTTCATGCATGCTATATTTTCCACCCCTCTAATCCTCCCAACATAGCACATCTTATGATTAATAGAAACTGTAAAGTGCATTATGAAATTTTCCCCATTCCCCTTTTACGTTGGGGGTACGCGGTAGCGTAGCTGGTTGAGGCGCTATGCCACAAGTCAGAAGGTTGTAGGTTATATTCCTGATGTCACTGGATTTTTCAAGTTACCTAACCCTTCTAGCCCTGGGCTTGTTGCAGCCTCTAACATAAATAAGTACAAGAAATCTTCCTGGGGGTAGAGGGCAGCCAGCACATAAGGCTGACAAACTCACCGCCATCTGTGAGCTGTCTAGAAAAAATAGAAGCCTCAACATCTCACAACCTTACAGGCCTCCACAGCTTGTTACCTTCTTACCTCCTTTTATGGCTTTCTTTCCATGTCTTCAGTAACATGCTCCCAAACACCCCTAAATCTGAGTACTATCTGCTGGGATACAACATGATGTAGTCCGTTGAAACCCAAACCGACGTTTCAGAGAAATATTTCGCCTCCATCTTTAAGGTCAAGAAGAAAGCCATGCAAGAAACCAGTGTGAAGCAGGTGGTAGGGGCTACACAGTGTTATAACTTGAGAACATACAACTCTTCATAACCACTGCTGTGAGAACCTCAAATCCTAGACTATAGGTTAACTTGTTACAAAAAATTGCTTAATAAACAACAAGAAAGTTATAACTCATGGATTTATTCTTTCATAAAGGAATGACAAAAGGTGGCAAAATACCTTGATACTTAAAATTGTACACATATTCTTAAATTTTATGTTTGCCCATTATTTTCTGTTTGTTACTAAGTGAAAATAAATGACAAAAAAGAACAACACATTTTAGAACACAAAATTAAACTTTAAATGCAAGAAGTGCTTATGACTCTTATTCATACTATGGAACATGTTTGGCAGTATGCTCATGCGATCATATACTAAATGGTATGAAACATTCACACTGTTTAACAAAATACGAAATGAGCATGTTTTCTTACTTTAAAAAAAAGGCATTTTTACCCTGAAGTTTGGTTGGCACTGCAAATTTAATGAATTACTATAATCATCTTGTGCTGTTCTTTAGTTGTGCATAGCATATTCTCATTGCACAGGGTCAATATCCATCACTCTTAATGTCTCAACTGAAATATTAGTACAGACCTTCTAGTATCTTGTTGAATATTCTACTACACTTCCATTTTGGTTCTACAAAGAAACAAATGCATTCAAATATTAGTGTTACAAAAATTTGTCAATCACTGGCATTTAAAACAGCCTCCTCTTCCTTTTGTTCTTTGCAAAGATATAATATGTTGTTACCCTTGAAGTTGAATCAATTTATTTATACATTTCCATTCCAGTCTGGCCCATAATTAGTTTACATACCTTTACTGAATTTCAAGCATTACACACATCATTTTAGATTGTTCCACATTATACAGATAATCACTTAACCTTTATCATTCATGCACGCAGGCCGCAGCAGACACTGCACAGTCTGCAAAATATACACAGCCTCATGCACCACAACAGCAAGAGATATATATGTGGGTTACTTCAAAAGTCATGGCAACATAATTTTTCCGAAAATTCTAAAGCTCTGACCGGAATTTCCAAATTTGCCACTGAGAGACAGCACCGTCTGATTTCTAATGATGCTGCTAGATGATTCAGAAGTCAAAGGACAATGAAGTGAGTCCAGCGCGAAGTCAGTGTGATCATAACCTTAATCAAGAATGAACGTTAGCCGGCTGGAATGACGTTGTTACGTGAAAATAGCAGTGCTTCGCGGCAGAAATGCAACTGAATGTCACTCAGACCTTGTGGAAGCTCTGGGTGATCGTGCTCTACCATACAGAACCGTTGCAAGGTGGACAGAAGCATTCCAACATGGAAGAGAAGCAAGTACGGACTTGCAACGTAGTGGACGCCCTGTGTCCGTTAGTACCGACGTTTATTGTGCCATGATCACCCAGCGCATAGAAGAGGATTGCATCAAATTTTATGAAACTCACATTGAATTTTAATTTCTTAATCACAATTGAATTTTTTGAGGATTAAAGAATGAAAAAAAAGTCATTCCGTAATGTGCAATTTTTCGTGCCTACTATACCTATGCCCTTTCACATCTACCTGATCTGACTAAGCGAATCGGAGGGGTATATCATGCCCTTTCATAAGTATATTTTGAACTTTCTTCACTGTAACGTGTTTGCCCAAAAAATTAGTTGCCATGACTTTTGAAGTAATAACCCACGTATATACAGAGTGTTTTACGACTCTAGGGCATAACTGCAGGAGGTGATTTCCTAGGTCTTTGTGATCAAAAAAGTTCATATAAACATGTGTCCGATTTTGGACGGTTACAGAGTTATGGCCGTTTTAAATGCAGAACAGAAGGTAACGATTACTGACAATAAACGGAACAAAACAATAAACCAGCACAATACATGATACATTTAACGTATGAATGTAGAGTTAACTTCGTGAAATTACCTTTAATTTGAATTTACTGGTGCTTAAAGCTGATTTTCGAAAATCCCACCGCCGGCCGCAACACAGGCTGCCACTCAGTTGTGAACCGCGCCAGACATTCCAACCCACCACGCCTTAGGTGCCTCTCAAATGTCGACATAACGACAACGCTCTGTCTGTAGCTGGCTAAAAATAGCAACCCGTCAGATGACAGACGAGGTTCGCGCGAGGGCGTGTACAGGAATGAAAAAAACGGTCATAACTCTGTAACCGTCCAAAATCAGACACATGTTTATATGAACTTTTTGATCACAAAGACCTTGGAAATCACCTTCTGCAGTCATGCCCTAAAGTCGTGAAACGCCCTGTATACAATTACTGAACGATAAAAGTTAATGTGATATACAAAAGTGAATAAAAAATTCATCAAATAACATTACTAACAACTTCAACATTCCATGGCCTGCATGTAACATTTAACTGTGGATTGCTGGATGTGGCAGTGCTGTATGTTTCGGTAAATAATACAGTAGCCATCTTGATGATAAAGATGACTGCAACATACTCTGACATGACAGTTGAAAGCCAGAATAATGCAATCAATAGATGCAGCCACCACTGGGTGGCAGTGTGGTAAACACATGTCCATGGCAAGGAATAAACATGCGAAAGTGGAGGAGCTGTTGAAGGGTGATGTCTTCTATCTGATCCAACCAAAGGTCATATAATGGGGAACAAGATGGCAAGCAAGGGAGTCAACAGTCAGTAAGAGGCTGGAGTCAGCAATTAAGCAGCCCTGAGCTGCACTGTTAGCAGCCAATACGTAGCAATGACTAGTGGTAACATAACAACATACAGAAGACGTTACATATGCTGCAGCATATAGTGTAAACCACTAAAGACTATTACATTTACCCATAGTTATGAGTAATAAGTGATAAAGAAATCCAATTATCCATCCTAACCCTGAGTCTAGTCACTAATACATGAACATATGATGGACTGACCAAGTAAGTGCAAATGGAAAAGGCTTATCCAAAGCATAATCAATGAACACGTATTTATTTGCTTTTAGATTAAAAAAATGCTTAGTGGGGGGTGGAGTCCAACTGGGTCCACTCTGCATGGCGGCCACTGATTGGCCTATTGTAGTCTGCCCCGGATGATTATGATAGAGAATTTGGTGGAATGAAGATTGGCAGGAGAAACTGAAGTACTCGGAGAAAACCCGCACCAGCGCCACTTTGTCCACCACATATCCCACTTGACCAGACCCAAGATCGAACACGGGCCGCTGCAGTGGGAAGCCAGTGACTAACTGCTTGAGCTATGGCGCGGCCATCATTTAGATTTAAAAAATTAACTGTATGAAGCCAGACTGAAATAATACTCAGAGTGAGCCAGTGATAACATTTACCTACATACAAAATAATAAAACTTACCACAACATTAATTATCCCAATCAACGGAGTTGAATGCCTCAGGATCTTGTAGATCATGTATACTACACACTGATGAGGAATTACATCCTGAAAGACAACAAGGTTTACGTTATTTCCTTACTGATAATATATCTGCAAACAAGACAAGCCTTTTTAACATATACTAACCCCTTGAGTGGGTGGGTCTACATGCCACAATATGAAGAGAAGGTTAAGTTTCATGGTAGAGAAAAAAAAATCCTATTTAATTAGGAGGTAAGATAAATTTAACAAAATCAAAATCTTGAATATGACTGACAAAATAAAATAGAAATTTACTATGTTCTATATTAAAAAACATTATCACTATGTCAGCTCATTCTCTGTATACCTCTGATACAATTTAAAAAAAAAAGCAATGCAAAGTCACTGTACATACTTTCTAAGACTACCCTTCTGGCATAGAGCATTCAATTAAAACAGAAACATGTTGCCTGCAATATCACCAAAGTCATCTACTGCATGACTGCAGAGGGAAGGGCACTGGTGTTTTTTCCAAATAAATATCTCTACTTAAACATAACACCGTAAGTGATTTTTGTACAAACTTACCATATCTTATTACACGAATGCTGGAAATGACATCCTTCTGTCTAAAGGCATGCCTTACAACAAACAGACAAGTTCTGCAACACTTTTTGAAGCTCATCCCCAGAAACTGGAGCAATTATGCATGTTACTTCACAATGCAGAGCTTTGAGGGTGCTTGTGGTCTGCCAATTTCTGACAGGCTTAAATACAAATGAGGTTCAGTGACCTCATTCTAGTGGGTATTCACCAATGAACCTCCGAACGCACTTTCTGTAGGTTCATTTATTACAAAGGATCTGACTATTAAACTCAATGTTCGATCATATACCTCATTGCTACAATAACGTCAGATCTCAAGACAAAAATATATGAGTGAACAGTACTGTTTCACATGCTATCACACACAACATCTGCCAACATTACGGAGATATAATGCCATGTAGTTCACCGAGAGCCAACCAATGTTTTTGTGGAACATCTTCAGGGTAACAAAAATGGATCTGATGGTACTCTTCATAACCACTGCTGTGAGACCCTCAAAACCCTACAACTACTGGGTAGTTACACAGTGACAGAAGACATGTTCTGTTCTTCTTTACTTACTTTACATACTATAAATGTATGAGCATGCTGGCCCAATATTTTCCCAGTAAACCATGAACTGAGACTAGACAGAATATGAGTGATATGCTGAATTCCTTCTTCAATCCATTAACAAACAAACAAAGACAATAATATAGTTTAAGTACAGAGAGTCAGTCCCTATGCTGTTCCCTCTAGAGTCACGCAGTATAGCTCTAGTACTTAAGAGGTGATAGTCCTCTGACGCGGGGTAGGAGAAGTATTGGTAGTGGCGGGGAGAGCTCCAGCATGCCTACAAGTGTGGCGGGGAATGCAGTACAGGCGTTCTCAAAAGGAAATAACTTCTTACCTCATTGTGTTGCATAGTGATGGTGGTTTATTCTCGTTGATGTTCACACATCCGATGATAAGTTTTAAGGGCCGAATGGCAGACTATTATGCACTATACACTATTATACACTTTTCACTGTTATATACATGAAGACCTTATTGCACATACAGCAAAGACAATAGCAAAGATACTTAAAAGAAGAATTGAAAGGAAAATAGAGGAAGTACTTGGAGAAGATCAGTTTGGATTTAGAAGAGGAAAAGGAACCAGGGATTCAATTAGGATGTTGAGAATTATAGCAGAACGAACTTTGGAGATAGATGAAGAACTGTGTGTTTGCTTCATAGACTGGCAGAAGGCATTTGACCGGGTAAACTGGACCAAATTAATGCAGATCCTGAAAGAAACAGGTATCGATTGGCATGAAAGAAGATTGATTAGCAAATTGTACATGGATCAGAAAGTTAGAGTACGACTGGACAGGGGGGAGACAGGAAGTGTGCAGATTGGAAGAGGAGTTCGACAAGGATGCTGTTTATCACCAATTCTGTTCAACTTGTACAGCGAATGCCTTACCAAGGAAGCTCTGGATGGGCTCGGTGACTTCAAAGTAGGAGGGCAAATTATTCAAACTGTGAAATATGCAGATGACCTTGTGTTAATGGCTAAGGAAGAAACTGTGCTACAGGGCATGATTGATAGACTAATTGAAATTGGAAGGTGCTATGGCATGGAAATGAATGTGGAGAAAACAAAAGTAATGAAAATTTCGAGACAACCAACCCCAGTCACAATAAAGATAGACCAAAAACAACTGGAGAATGTGAAATGTTTTAAATATTTGGGTAGCTTGTTAACAGATGATGGAAGGTGTACTAGTGAAATTAAATCCAGGATTGCCATGGCAAAAGCTGCATTTAGCAAGAAGAAGAATCTTTTTACCAGCAAATTGGACTTAAATTTGAGGAAGAAACTAGTGAAATGCTACATTTGGAGCATAGCTCTGTATGGGGCTGAAACATGGACACTTAGGGCAGTAGATCAGAAACATCTGGAAAGTTCTGGAATGTGGTGTTGGAGAAGGATGGAGAAGAACACTTGGACCGATTATGTGAGAAATGAAGAAGTGTTAATTAGAGTCAGTGAGCAGAGGAATATCCTACACGAAATAAGAAAACGGAAGGCTAATTGGATTGGTCATGTTTTACGCAGAAACTGCCTTCTAAAAGAAGTTATCGAAGGAGAGATAGAGGGAAAGATAGAAGTGACAAGAAGACGAGGAAGAAGACGTAAGAAGATGCTGGATGACCTTGGGGACAGAAGAGGATACTGTCATTTATAGGAGAAAGCTCTAGATCGCATTAAATGGAGGAATTGTTTTGGAAGAGACTGTGGACCTGTCATCTTGACAGATTACTGATGATGATGATGATACATGAAGAGTTTATTTACATATGGGTCTATTCTAAAGGGGCAACACCGGCAATGTCCGATTATTTCTTTGTTTTCTTCCAGCGGAACCCCAGTTGCAAAATAATTTTCTTTAATGTGGGAATGCATCCCTGAAAATGTAATATTTATTTCAACTTTTCATGAATTTTTTTCAGGGTAGATCTCCGTTTTTCGATTATATAGAAGTCACTAATTGTTCTTCGCACCACAGACTTGATAAAGTCATCCAAAGTGGCTAGTGGAGATTTCCTAGCTCTTTCTTTATAGGGTGTCGAAAAGGAAGTGGAAGCCCCAGATTCGATATTTTTTGTTTCTCTTATTATTCTTCTGACACTACTTTCCAATACACCTCTTGCCTTTGCTACTTCCACTCCTATGTTCTTCACTGTAATTGTTGGCCCAGCCTTTCATATACTTATATACATTACTAACAGTTTCTCTTGATTGTGAATGCAACACTTTTACACTCAATTTACTCCGTGTAGGTGGCATGTTAAAGGAGATAGAAAAAATGTACAAATATAAATAAACAAAAAAGAAAATCAACAAATAAAAATAAACAATAAAAGAAACTATTGTCACGTGTCACCACTTGACTTCTGGCCCAATACTTCAATGCAACATCTCAACTGTCTTCGGCGACGGCTCTCCCAATACTGACTTCTTGCTGTCTTGTTGCTGTCTTGTCTCTTTAGCTCTCAGCTTATGTAGCTGTTCTGCGGACTGGATACCAGACACCATTCCCCACTGTTTCGTTTCTACTGTCCGCTGTTATGTAACGGGCGCAACAAACTCTCTGTAGTTCATTTCTGGGGAGACGCATTTGTTGCTTCTGCATTGTCTATGCAACAGCTCCCTGTTCTTTGCATTACCATGGAAGTGCCTATTCCAAACTCACGTGTTCGGCAATCCGTTGCCTCGCGAACGCTCCTTCACAACGGTCTGTTTGTATTCAATTTGTCGCTGTTGGAACTCAACAATTTCCATTGTAGCCTTGTAAGGTAACGAGTCACAATATTAATACAGTAATTAGAGAATAATACACTCAAATACGACTCCAAGAGTCAAAACTTTTTAACTTGACTGTACAAGGAAGAATGCTCTTCAGACGTCAACTCGCACTGAATGTAGACGAATGACTAATCACAACACCCCTCAACTTTCACGAATGGACCTGCCCATCCACGGCGCAGCTTTTCTTGGACTGCCAGCTCTAAGTACTAGAGCTACACACACTACCACTCTACTATTCTACATAAGACACACACCTACTCAGGGCACATTACTCACTATAAGACATGTAGTCTGGTAGACAGATGGGGCACATGGTAGTGTAGTTGGCTAAAACACTATGTTACAAGAGAGAAGGTCGCAGGTTCAAGTCCCGATGAGATGGATTTTTTCAATTTATCTAATCCTTCCACCCACACTATGGTCCTGGGGTCAACTCAGCCTCTAACAGATGAGTACTAGGAATCTTCCTGGGAGGTAAAGGGTGGCCAGTGCCGACAATCTTACCAACTCTGAGTCAACTGTCTAGGGAAAGTGCGGAAGCCTCAACGCCTCACAACCCTATGGGCTTTCACAGCCTGTTACAGGGATAGCTTTACCTTTAGTTCAGTACACAGATAACAATATTAATTGTTAAATGTAACCAAAAATTAAATTACCGAAACAATACACCGTTCCATCGTCGTCGCCGTCGTCTTCAGATGATAGAAAGTAAATGTCATCAACAAAATCAGGTCGAAGATGACTAACACAGAGATTTGAAGAATCCACTTCTAGTATTGGATTCTTTTCAAAAGTATCAGGCATGTATACCATGGTACCTGGAAAAAAAAAATTGTTGCATGCAACAAAGAATGTGTCCATATGAAAACGAACATCACTTACTTCTGACATCACCAAACTTTACATGTCATGTGCTGACCAACTGCAAAGCATGTTATTCCCCCCACTGGCTGAGTGTTGCACTTGTCCTTACAATTATTGTTACAGTGAAATCTCGATTCATCGTTTTCGCTGGGAGTCCTGAAAGAAAAAAGCTGGATTCGGAAGAACGGTACATGAGGGGCCTATATAAAAGGAATAAACACAGTCACATTTGTCTATATGTATTTACTAAATCAAAAAACGTACACCAGTGATATTCTGCTGTCAAGTCAAATCTGCATTACTTCTTTTTAAAAAATTCATTAATCCTGTCTTGTTCAGTAGCACCTTTCCTTTTCAGACTAAATAAAAACATTTCAGTATTAACGATGTTCGCGTGGTCTCTTTGGGTAAACTCATGAGGCAGCCCTCCATCACTTACGCCTAATTGTCTGATAGGGAAGACACGTTCAAGGTCGCATAGGACACAGCTAAGGGCAGGGGCACACCAATGAAACTGGTTTCCAGATCAGCAGGTGAACACTGAGGAAACTTGTGTTTGATAAGTTGCTCATTTCATCATAAGTGGATATGTTTGTCCAATGTAATGCATGATTGTATTTTTTAATTCTGTGCACTTACCTTCTACAATGGAAGATAATAATACTGATCCTGTCATAATATGATGGTAGCTGAGACCAGCTGAGATGGTGTGAGAAGAGATGATGACCATAAGGAAAAGACTGGGATATTAATTAATTTGTTTTTATGAAAGTCTATTTATTTTAATCAGGAAATGTCGCATATGAATCTACCTTATATTTTGAGATTTCTTCCGACTCTGCTGAGTGAACCTGCCCTATACAACTTCTAACATGCCAACTACAAAATCTCATATCCATTTTCTTTGCTCAAGTCATTTATCCAAAATCTCTGTCCAGGTCCAAGGCTTCTTGAACATTTTCGTAACAAGCTTATTTTCATGGCGAGTTGTTAGCCTCAAACCCAACCCCCCAGTTGGAGGACTACCCCTTGTTGACTGTCTGCGACTGCTTATTCAATATATTCACAGCTTCCTTCCATACTTTGTGGACGTCCCCTCCATGTGCAACCTGAGGACGCACCATGCGGTGGTGACGAGGGACCCACCTAACATGGAAAGGGGAATGTGAATCATGAACTAGGTACAGGCTTTTTCATACATAAGAGAATCATATCAGCAGTTAACAGGGTAGAGTTCATTAGTGTAGGATGTCATATATAACACCAAGAGGTCACTAGTGTGATATCATCGTTCTGAATATTCATAACCAAATGGAAGATAATATTGATGACATAAAGGACAGATTCTACAAAGAACTAGAACTTGTATTTGATAAATTCCCGAAGTACCACATGAAAATTTTGTTAAGAGATTTCAATGTCAAAGTAGGGAGGGAAGACATTTTCAAACCAACAATTGGGAATGAGAGTTTGCACAAAATTAGTAATGATAATGGTGTTAGAGTAGTAAACTTTGTCACAGCAAAAAATCTTACTGTCAAAAGTACAATGTTCCCCCATCATAACATCATACATTTACTTGGACATCTCCTGATGGGAAGACACAAGATGAAATTGACCATATTTTGATAGACAGGATATGGCATTCAAGCATGCTTGATGTCCAATCATTCAGGGCAGCAGATTGTGATACTAACCACTACCTGGTGGTGGCAAAGGTTAGGGAAAGGCTGAAAGTGAGTAGAAAAACAATGCACAGAGTTCATATGGAGAGGTTAGAAATTAAACGAGGTAGAGGATAAGAGCCTTACAGGGTTTGTCCGAAAAGTAATGTCAGTGAGTCGATTAAAAAACATTTATTGATTAGATCGGTGCAACACATTAAAAGGTTTCAAAATAGGCTCCTTCTGCGTCGATACATCGCTTCCAGCGAGATTTCCAGGCATCGAAGGCGTCATGGTAGGCCTCCTCCGGAATGTCCTTTAGAGCCTTGGTGCAAGCCTCTTTGACTTCGTCAACTGTCCCAAAATGATGTCCTTTCATAGGAGTTTTCAAGCGCGGAAACAAAAAGAAGTCTGGGGGAGCCACGTCAGGACTGTAGGGCGGCTGGGGAACCGTTGGCACCTTTGAATCGGTCAGGAAGTGGGTCACGAGGAAGGCGGTGTGGGCTGGCGCATTGTCATGGTGAAGTTTCCAATCGTCCGCGATGTCGGGCCGGATGCGATAAACCCTTCGTTTGAGTCTCTTTAGCACTTCCACGTAGAATTTGGCGTTGATGGTTGTACCATGTGGTACAAACTCATGGTGGACCAGCCCCCTAATGTCAAAGAACACAATGAGCATGACCTTAACCTTTGACTTGCTCATTCTGGCCTTCTTGGGGCGAGGGGATGCCGAGGTGTGCCACTCGGCACTTTGCCTTTTTGTTTCGGGGTCGTACTCAAACACCCAAGTCTCGTCACCTGTGATGACATTGTCTAAAAAGTGATGGTCACTTTCACACAAGTCCAGAAGTTCTTGGCACGTTTCAACTCTGCGCGATTTTTGGTCGTCCGTTAACACTTTGGGCACCAGCTTTGCGCACACTTTTCGCATCTGCAGATTGTTCGTCACAATCTCGTGAACGGTACTTTTTGGAATGTTTAATGTCTGTGCCATTAAACGAACACTCAAACGACGGTCTGAGTTCAAAAGTTCTCTCACACGCGTCACATTTTCGTCGGTGGTGCTTGTTGATGGCCGTCCAGCGCGGGCTTCATCGCCGACCTCTTCACGGCCTTCTAAAAAGACCTTGTGCCACCGGTAGACCTGACGTTCCGACAGACAATCATCACCGAAGGCCGTCTTTATCATGGGAAAAGTTTCCACTGCAGACTTGCCAAGTTTCACACAAAACTTGATGGCAATCCTTTGTTCCAAGGAACGCTGCATTGCGGCTTGCACGGGAGACAAAAACGAGTTTCACGGAAAAGCCTTTCGTCACTCTCACGAAGTTCGGAGACGACTAAGCCACCGCGCGTTCATAAGGTGACTTCCCCCTCCACCGATCCCAACCGGTCTAAGCGCGCTGCGACGTATAGTCACTTCACAATGAAATCACTGACATTACTTTTCGGACAAACCCTGTATTGTGTTGAAATCTCAAATAGGTTCTCAGCCTTGAAAACTTAGACACTGAGGCGGATGTTAATAAAGCCTGGGGAACTATTAGATAGAATATAAAAATTTCTGCCAAAGACAGTCTAGGTCAGCCCTGTCCAACGCAGCGCCCATGAGCGCCATGGCATCCATGGTCTAATTTTCTGGCGCCCTCCATAACCACATATAATTGAGCCGATTTTTAATATTAATTCAAACTGTAAGACAAGAGACATTTGAACGTCTGAGTACTGTTAAATATTTTCGAAAAATGTTATTATTATTATTATTACTATTCTTATTATTATTAAAAAGACACTGTCCCTCTTCTCGGTGCACCCTTGCTACCAACGTGGTGGGTAAAGATCTTGACATATTTGCAGACGGAGCAGTATCTCTGAATCATATTTTACAGGCATATACCAAACCTTTTACGGTGTTACTTGATTAGTGTTTTCATTCACTACAAATGTGTATACCTCGGCTAACTTTAATTTTCTTATGTAATTGGTTTTAATTTATTGACTTGTTATTAATTTTATGCTATCACTGCCAGGTGTCTTATCTTAGTGTTTAGTTACTAACAGTATTAGCAACATTCGTAATATTTCATAAATATATGTATATATTTCAGTCTTCTTTAGATTTATGTTCACAGATTTATTTGTCATATTTGTATTTTGTTTTAATTATTTTCTGTACCTTATATACTCGTGCTAACTTTGTAATTGGCCACTGTGCTGTTAAGTTATTGCACGTAAATAAACATGAATTGAACTGAATTGAATTGAATTATTATTATTATTAGTAGTAGTAGTAGTAGTAGTAGTAGTAGTAGTAGTAGTAGTAGTAGTAGTAGTAGTAGTAGTAGTGTGTGGTGGCGCCCGCACCTCCATAGGCATCAGTGAATTGTGCCCGAGTACATTGGACAGCACTGGTCTAGGTTATTATGAACTGAAGAAGCATAAGCCATGGTTTGATGAAGGATGTTCTAAATTATTAGACCAAAGGAAGCAAGCCAAACTGTAGTGGTTACAGGATCCAAGCAAAATAAATGGGGATAATCTGAACAACATAAGATGTGAAGGCATTTCAGGAATAAAAAGTGGGAATATTTGAAAGACAAAATTGATGAGTTTGCTTGCAATGAACAGTAAGAACAAGAACATTGGAGACCTGTATAGAGGAATAAATGACTTTAAGAGGGGTTACCAGCCTAGCAGTAACTTAGTGAAGGATGAGAACGGTGATCTGCTTGCAGATTCCCACAACATTTTGAACAGGTAGAAAGAGGACTTCTCTCAGTTACTGAATATACATAGGGTCAGTGATGTTAGGCAGATAGAAATACACACAGCTGAGCTGTTAGTACCTGATCCTAGCCTTTTTGAGGTTGAAACTGTTACTGCAAAATTGAAAAGGTATAAGTCACCAGGTAGTGATCAAATTCCAGGAGAACTTATTCAAGCAGGAGGTGAAATATTACATTCTGAGATGCAAAAGCTAATTTATTCTATTTGGAATAAGGAAAAATTGCCTAATCAGTGGAAGAAGTCTACTATTGTACCAGTTCACAAGACAGATGATAAAACTGAGTGTAATAATCATCAGGGGATATCACTCATATCAACTTCATACAAAATGTTTTCCCAATATTCTTCTCTCAAGGTTAAGTCCATACATAGATAAAATTATGGGGGATCATTAATGTGGGCTTCAACGTAACAGATCAACTACAGATCAGATCTTTTGCATTCATCAGATATTGGAGAAAAAATGGGAGTACGATGAGACAGTACATCAGCTATTCATAGACTTCAAGAAAGCCTATGATTCAGTTAGGAGGGAAGTATTGTACAATATTCTGATAGAGTTTGGGATACCCATGAAACTAGTTAGGTTGATTAAAATGCGTTTAAACGAAACGTATAGTAAAGTCGGTGCAGGTAAACATTTGTCTGAAAATTTTTCTGCCAAGAATGGTCTAAAACAATGACATGCTTCATTGCCACTGCTTTTCAACTTTGTTGTAGAATATGTTGGTCTGCGCTGATGATGTGAATCTACTGGGTGATAATATAGATACCATAAAGAGAAACACACAAACTTTAATTGACGCTAGTAAGGAAGTTGGTCTAGAAGTAAACACAAAGAAAACTAAGTTTATGTTGCTGTCTCATCACCAGAATGCAGGGCAAAATCATGACATAAAGTTAGGTGACAGATGTCTTGAAAATGTGACACAGTTCAGATATTTGGAAATGATAATAAGAAATCAAAATCTAATTCAGGAGGAAATTAAGAGGAGACTGAACTCGGGTAATGCTTGCCACCATTCAGTCCAGAAACTTTTCTCTTCTCGCCTGCTGTCTAAAAACATAAAAATTAGAATACACAACACTATAACTTTGCCTGTGGTTCTGTATGGATATGAAACTTTGTCTCTGACATTAAGGGAGGAACACAGACTGAGGGTGTTTGGGAACAGGGTGTTGGGGAGAATAGTTGGACCGAAGAGAGATGAAGTGACAGGAGGTTGGAGAAAACTGCATAATAAGGAGCTTCATAACTTGTACTCTTCACCAAGTATAATCAGAAAGATCAAGTCAAGGAGGATGAGATGGGCAGGGCATGTAGCATGAATGGGGAGAAGAAGAATGCAATTAGAATATTGGTGGGAAAACCAGATGGAAAGAGATCACTAAGAGACCAATACGTGTACATAGGTGGGTGGACAATATTAAAATGGATCTTAGAGACAGGATGGGATGGTATGGATTGAATTGATCTGGCTCAGGATAGGGACCAGTGGAGGGCTCTTGTGAACACAGCAATGAACCTTCAGGTTCTGTAAAATATTGGGAAGTTCTTGAGTAGATGCTCAATTGGTGGCTTCTCAGGAAGGGCTCAGCTCCACAAGTGATGAGTGAGGAAATATCCCGTTCACACGCGATACAAAATTTTGACACAGAGTGCAACTATTTTAGCAAGACAAGAGACATCTGATGAATGCCATATTCAGACAAACCATGTAATCTGGAAAAAGGGTGACTATAATAAGTTGCATTTAAGATAGAAATATATGTGAAATAAATCATATATATGATTGCAACAGGATGCTTAAATAAAATATTAGGAAAAGAAAACACTGGGTGTGTCTGTTCTTCTGTGACAATTTAAACTGAGGTGCTTATATTGTTTCAAAAGAACTTAACCAAGATCCAGACTCCTTCAGTATTCAGTATTGAGGGGGTGGGGTTCTCCATGCACTTAGACCAGTTATTGGTCCATTGTGCGTCCCCCTTTAATTTCTACTGCCTCCATACCCTACCAGTACTGGTGCTCGCTATCAGCCCCTTTCTGCCAGCAAAGTTGAATTCCTCTACTGGCAGTGGTATCTAATAGTTAGTCCCTTTCTGTCAGAGAGGTCGCCCCTCCTCTGGCAGTGGTACCCAATACTTCCCCATCTACCAGAGGCATTGGAAACTACTTTGAGCGGGAAACTTTTTGGCCAAATTTAGCTCAGAGGTCTCCTAGAGACATGAGGTTCTCTTACATGCCGTAAATCTACAACACGGGACCCACAGCTTAAAGTCCCTCCCAGAGGACTTGTTCCCTGAATTTTTCCGCCCTTAAAAATTCCACAACCTCTGCTGGGTTTGAACCCGTGTACCTTGAGTCATGAGGTGGGAACGTTACCCCTAGACTACGGAGTAGTCTCATGAGAAATTCTTTCCCAAGCCAAATCTATTTTGTCCTGTTTAGCATACTCTGGGTGGTGCTTGTCACATATACCAGGCTCTTGTTCAATTAACTCCATACAAAGACAAAATTAGCAGCTTCCAGCAACATTTCGTGCCATCTTAAGAAACACACGAATTACTGAAGCGCGTTACAGAACAGCTGACACTAGGAAACCACACAGCAACGCAACTGTGAGAAGACTGGAATGCTCTGTTGCCTGGAAGTTGAGTTTCTCAGTCTTTCCGTGAGTTGCATTTTCATTTCCTCAATTTGTGCTACTCCATTCAGTAACATGTGTTCAACTTAGGCTGATAACAACACTCAGAGGTTGCAGTTTTGTTGTGGTTGCCAGTTTCCTTGGTGTGCCCTCGCCCTAACGGTAGAGAGCCAAAATTGCATCTTATTACACCACGTTCAAAAAATGTCAACCACTGATACTACTACCGATGTGTAGTAACATTTGTGTGTGTGTAGTTTTGCTCTTTCTTAAAAACGATCAATCTGGTATTAACATTCTTTGGGACTAAATTTCTGGCCAGTAGATACTGGAAACTGGTAAATCGAAGAACTATTGATGCACATTTTACTTCCATAGTATAAATAAAACTTGTTCAGGGACCACAGAAACTGAACGATGGATCCAGGAAAGTGACTCATCCGGGAACAATAGATCAAGTTTCCACTGTACACAAGTTAAAACAAGTTAAAATATGGCTGTCAGCCCTGTAGAACAGGGAGATTTAAAATCCTCTATTCCCCACCATAAATTATAATTCCTAAATTAAAACATGCTCATCAGCCCTAAGGAACAAAATTTTAAAATATCCTATTTATTCTCAGATTATAAACTGTAATTCCTCACAGATCAAAGGTGACAAGAACATAAATTCTACAGAGAGAAATAAAGAGCATCCTGATGTTACAGAATGATTCAGCTCACCTCCCACTATCAGCGTCAGCTTAATGTTATTGGTTCGCAACTTAACAGAATCTAACGCTGCCTGCACAGTGGCATTAGACACGATATCACAGCCACTGAAGTCAAAATGTTCCAATTCGTTACATGATGTTACCACTCTGAAAAATACACATAATATTAAAAACAGATATAAGAAGCATTTACATACAGAAAGTTTCATAATTTTCTAGCAGAAATCTTCTACATTTTGTGACCATGTACATGTATCCCTCAATTTACAGAGGCAATTTTTACTTTTTCAAGTTTTCCTGTGGTGACAATTTGTAAACTTAAAATTATAATTTATTGTGTTACGTATAAAAGTCATTAACTCATTCATGCGTCTCAAGAAAAATCCTGCAATATTTTTAATGTATATTTTAATAGTAAACAAGCATTAAAATAGGACAGTATTACTTATTTATATTTACTGTTGTAAATGAAACTGGCTTATAGAGCTCCTGGCTACAGATCCAGAGGTCCGGGTTCGATCCCTGGCACTACCAGATTTACTGAGAAGTAGTGGGTCTGGAACGGGTTCCACTCAGCCTCGTGATGATAATTGAGGAGCTATGTCAAGGAAATACCGGCTCTGGTCTAGAAACCCAAAATTAACAGCCATCGGGATTCGTTGCGCTGACCACACGACACCCTCTATCCGCTAAAGTTGGCATTAACTTCACCGACAAGCGGCGGTAAATCAGTCGGCAGTTTGCTTGCAGACTAAAACCACGGAGTTTAGTTTTGATTTTAATTGGGTTTATTTTCTCACTGTTGATGCAACGTGATGACTGAGCTTATGGCTGAACTTACTGTTTTCCATACTTTCTTTAGCTTAACCACTTTCACTTGTTGGGGAGCCATGATGGGCACAAATAGAACAGATAGCTGCATAGAAAATGTAAGCATCAAGAGCTGAGTTTATATGATCACAATGGGTGGTGCAGACAGGCTTAGAAGTCTGAAAACACTCATGGGTTGGGATGTGTGCTTCTCCCCATGCACTGTATATGTATTTCTCCACCTTTGCAAAATCCTTCTTATGAATGTAAGTTGTTCACTGTAGTAAAAATGAAGTTCATCAGGTGAAAAATAGGTAGAAATTAACATAAGATCTGAAGTCTGTGACAATGGTACATTAGTATAAATATTATGTTTGTGGAGATTATCCATCGTCCAATCTTTATCTAAAAACACCGTACTGTTTATTTTACAAAACACAATGTTTCAGAGACTGGGTTCTATCCCCATCTTCAGGTAAAACCTACTTAGTTAGGCCCAATCAATAGAGCTAGGACTGGAGATAGGGACTAGCTCTATTGATTGGGACTAACTGGGTAGGTTTTAGCCGGAGACAGAATCCAGTCTCCAAAATGCTGTGTTTTGAAGAATAAACAGGATGACGTTTTCAGATAAGGACAGGAAAATGGACAGTCGTAGAAATTAGCATGCTTTGTTGTAATGAAAATCTGTGAATCAAGTGTTTGCAAAAGACAAGGAATACCTGCTGTATGGAGACTGAATACACTACAAAGAAAATGTATTGCAAAAGTGAAATACGTACGGCCTACAATGAAGCATGGGTGGACAGTCACTTTGAGTACTGAGCCCTGTCGCAAGCACAGGAAGGCCTTACAAGCCACACATCTTTATCAACACAAAACTATTCCTCTTCCGTGCTCAGCTTGCTTTTGTGGGGGATCACGGGTAAGGCTAATTTATAATAAATAATCATCAAATGACATGCATAAAACTTGAAATAACTTTAACATGTCAAAGGATGGATATATACATCTGTACATCCATAGTATAATATGCTGTTGGGAGCTGGTCTGAAAGTGATTTTGGGTTGGATCGATCTGTGAGCCAGCTTCTGTCCATCCAACCCTGCTCTAATGCTAACAGGGTTGGTACAAATGAGGTATCATGCAGTGATGATTTTCAAAAGGTACAAATAAAAAAATATTTACAATGAATAGGGGGTTTATGTACCTTATACAACCGGCATCTGTAATTTTTGGACAGCCACGGCATACCAGCTTCTGGAGCTTGCCTCTGCTTGCAATAGCTTCCAGTGCAGCATCAAACAATTTTGCAGAATAACTAATTACAAGATTGACTAAATTTGGCAATGCTGCCAGGCACCTGAATCCAACCTCTGTCACAGTAACTGTGTCCCAAGAATTAGAGCTGCAACCTGGAAATAAAGTTTCCATTAGAAAGGAATACACAACTGTTAAATGGCAGGACAGCTGGTAAGATACAATTTGCTTCATTCGTTGCATTCTCATTTCATGCAAGAGTGTCACAAAATGACAGCTAGATGATTTTAAATTACATTATGGGAAAGCACCACACTGGGCCTTACACCATGTCTATTCTTCGATCTACCAAGTGTCCCTGTCTTGGTTACCCGATTCACGGTCAAATACTTTGCGTGCAGTGCAGTTTCATGCTTAATGAAGTGCCTGCATAGTCACTGGGTCTCTGACGTCTCAAGTGTCAAAGTCTTAAATTAGCTATGGCCTCAGAGCTAAAACAAGGAGATGCTTCATTGCCACTGCTTTTCAACTTTTCTTTAGAACATGCCATTAGGAAGGTCCGGGAAAACCGGGTGGGTCGGAAATTAAACGGGACACATCAGCTGCTGGTCTATACTGATGATGTGAATCTACTGGGTGATCATATAAATAACATAAAGACAAACACACAAACTTTAATTGATGCTAGTAAGGAGGTTGGTCTACAAGTAAACACAGAGAGAAAACTAAGTATATGTTGCTTTCTCGTCATCAAAATGAAGGGCAAAATCATGACATAAATATAGGTAACAGATATTTTGAAAATGTGGCACAGTTCAGATATTTGGCAATGACTATAACAAATTAAAACCTGATTGAGAAGGAAATTAAGGACTGAATTCAGACAAAGCTTGCTACTATACAGTCCAGAACCTCTTGCCTTCTCGTCTGCTGTCTAAAAACTTAAAAATTAGAATATACAAAACTATAATTTTCCCCGTGGTTCTGTATGGGTGTGAAACTTGGTCTCTTAAGGGTGAAACACAGACTGAGGGTGTTTGAGAACAGGGTGCTCAGGAGAATATTTGGAGCGAAGAGAGATGAAGTGATGGGAGGTTGGAGAAAACTGCATAATGAGGAGCTTCATAACTTGTACTCTTCTCCAAGTATAATTAGAATGATCCAAGTCAAGAAGGATGAGGTGGGCAGGGCATGTAGCATGAATGGGGGAGACGAGGAATGTGTATAGGATATTGGTGGGGAAGCCAGAAGGAAAGAGAAGAACAAGGCGTAGGTGGGTGGATCTTAGAGAGATAGGATGGGATGGCATGGATTGGATTGATCTGGCTCAGGATAGGGACCAGTGGAGGGCTCTTGTGAACACAGTAATGAACCTCCGGGTTCCACAAAATGCTGGGAAATTCTTGAGTAGCTGCACAATTAGCAGCTTCTCAAGAAGGGCTCAGCTACATGAATGGGTGACAGATGGGCTCAAAGATATACAAGATGCAGGGCCATTACTTATGCAAACCAGAAGACTATCATGATGCCCCTCCTATAAGCAGAATTCTGCACTTAGTTTGAACTGTAGGATTGTTGAACAGTTAAATAAATAAAGAAGTATGCACAATAAGGTCATGGTGCAAGGGCCAAGTAGTTAGGCCCATCATTTATGTGCTGCTGCTACACAGGATGTACAGGAGCTGTTTCATCTCTGTTCTGGCACTCTGCATGTGTGGGAGCTATTTACTAGTTGCAGCTTGAAGAAGCATCTTTTGACAGTGTCCTGCATTCTCAGATGGTTCCTATTTAATCCTGCTGGTTCCCTAGTCTTTTTGCAGAAGGTCCTTAAAGGAAGGCCTTCATGTGACTATGTCCAGCTATGAACTCCCAGTGTTTTACTGTCAGTCTGTTTGTCCAGTCCCTGACAGCTCACTGGGCAACTCTGAGATGCCAAGGGACATTCAAAGTATGGTCTTGCCAGATGGGTGGCAATCCTTTTTCCCTCATTTCCCCTGTGACCTAGCACCAACATCAGCTGAACCTTGCTATGTTCAACCAAGATGGTGATATAGCTCAAGCAGTTAGTCATCAGCTTCCCACTCTGTCCTAGCTTCAATCCTGCATGAAATGACATAGAATTTGTAGTGGGCAAAAATGGCAATGGGGTGGATTTTCTCCAAGTACTTTGTTACCCCTACCAATTCCCATTCCACCAACTGTTCCATGTTCATCAATCATTGTATCATTGAAGCTATATTGTTTTCATATTGTCAGCACTGCTAAATAAGCAACTTAAATAAAATAAAATGAGATTCAACTACTTTTGCAAGGATTGATACATCACTACTAAGAAACTGCTTTAATTGAGAGTCATGAAGCATGGAATAACAGCAAAATTTCATGAGTGACAAAATGACAGCACACCAACTAAACAAAATCACATGTACATATGACATGCAAATCTCCATGGTGAAAATGAAAGCACGGGAATGGTGTGGAAGAAGTACTTACTTACTTACTTACTCATGGAGCTGAGCCCTTCTGGAGGAGCCGCCAATTCTGCAGCTACTCAAGAATTTCCCAGCATTTTATGGAACCTGGAGGTTCATTACTGTGTTCACAAGAGCCCTCCACTGGTCTCTATCCTGAGCCAGATCTATCCAATCCACACCATACCATCCCATCCTATCTCTCTAAGATCCATTCTAATATTGTTCACCCACCTACACCGTGGTCTTCCCTGTGGTCTCTTTCCTTCTGGCTTTCCCACCAATATCCTATATCCTCCCCCATTCGTGCTACATGACCAGCTCAACTCATCCTCCTTGACTTGATCAATCTAATTATACTTGGTGAAGAGTACAAGTTATGAAGCTCCTCATTATGCAGTTTTCTCCAACTTCCTGTGACTTCATCTCTCTTTGGTCCAAATATTCTCCTCAACACCCTGTTCTCAAACACCCTCAGTCTATGTTCCTCCCTTAATGTCAGAGACCAAGTTTCAC